CGCCCCAAAGACAGCCCCACCACTGGCCAAGGCCAAGCCAATCAGCAATGGTGACAGCACCTCTGTGATAATGTATTTAAGAAGAAAAAAAACAACCTAGGAAGAGCTTTTGCAGCCAGAGAGAGGAGCGAGAAGATGTAAGAAACTTTGCAGACACCAAGGTCAGTGAAGAAGGAGGGGGAGGAGGTGCTCCAGGCATCAGAGCAGAGATTCCTGTGAAGACCATGGTGAGGCAGGCTGTCCCCCTGCAGCCCATGGAGGAAGGATGAGGGGGTGTAGAAATTCCACCTGCAGCCTGTGGATTACTCCATGCCAGAGCAGGTGGAGGCACCTGAAGGAGGCTGTGACCCTGTGGGAAGCCCACGCTGGAGCAGGCTGCTGGCAGGACCTGTGGAGAGAGCAGCCCACACTGGAGCAGGTTTGCTGGCAGGACTTGTGACCCCATGGGGGACCCACGCTGGAGCACTCTGGCCCTGAAGGTCTGCACCTTGTGGAAGGGACCTGTGCTGGAGCAGTTTGTGAAGAACTGTAGCCCGTGGGAAGGATTCACGTTGTGGAGGACTGTCTCCTGTGGGAGGGACCCCACGCTGGAGCAGAGGAAGAATGTGAGGAGTCCTCCCCCTGAGAAGGAAGGAGCAGCAGAAAACAATGTGGGATGAGCTGACCACAACCCCCATTCTTCGTCCCCCTGTGCCGCTGAGGGGGGAGTAGGTAGAAACAGGGAGTGCAGTTAAGAAGAAGAAGGGCGGGGGGAGCATTTTAATATTTGATGTTATTTCTCATTGCTCTACTCTGTTTTGCTTGGTACTAAATTAGATCAATTCTCCTCTAAGTTCAGTCTGTTTTGCTTGTGACAATAACTGGTGAGTAAAATCTCCCTGTCCTTAATCCACAAGCATTTCATTATACCTTTTCTCCCCTGTCTAGTTAAGGAGGGGGAATGATAGAGCGGCTCTCGTGGGCACCTGGCCTCCAGCCAGAGTCAACCCACAACAGTTCTGTAGAAAAAAAAAGTTACAGCTGGAAGAAGCAAGTGGGACTGGCTAAGCACAGCTTAAATGAGGCCAGTTGTCTGTAAGGAATCAAAGGAGTACTGCTCTTGGCCCACCTTGCTGGTTTTCCTAAATGAGCAGTAAAGTTACTTTTTAAGCAACTTTGTCAGTCCAGCTATGCAAGCAAACCTCTGATCAATGTTAGGCCAAGAACATTATTTCAAGGCCTGGCCTGTTTACACCAAGCAATTGAAATTATATTCAAATTACTCTGGTCAAATTTCTTTCAAAGAAATTTTTGGTATATTTCTAATATTGCAGTAATATAAAAAATGGGTTAGGTAAGAAAAACACTGAAAAGAAGAGAAAAACTTACCACCCAAGGCCTTTTCCTCTCAAGCATCTCAATTAAATCAAGATGGCGCTTGCGCTCATGGTATCTCTCAACATCTTGCTTGTATCGTTCAATCCTCTGCTTCATTTTCTCCAAAGAGTTAGTTTTGTCTCTGCACAAGTTCTGTAAGAATATACATTTTCATATTTTACAGTATTTACTTTGTGAAAACACTTTTCGGAAATAGTCCACACTGCGTCTGTACATTAGAGCAGAAATTTAACACTACAGAGAACATTTCAGTACAGCAGTAGAGGGGAACAACCCAACTAGGAATAAGTTATCCAGCTGCAGAGATCACTAAGCCTGTGCTCTTGTAAGATCACAGTACAAGTAACTGTCAGGGAAAGACCTTGTGTCCTAATACCAGGATGACAACAAGGTTGCAGCTTATTGTATACACTCTCCCTTTTCTTCTTTGTTAATATACCAAACACGGAAAAATAGGTAGCAGACAACAATCTCCTCCATAATTTATAGAACTTGAAGTCAGCCAGATTAAAGCAAAAGACCACCCTGTAACAGGTGATGATTTCTGAAAGGCATAAAAGATCTGACCAGAAAAGTTATTGCCAGCCAAGAATCCCAGAGAAGTGATGAGTACTTGACAACAGGCATCCCTTGTACTGTGTCCAGAACACTTGCACACATGTGGCTTCATGCTTAAGAGCATGTGAGTGTTAGAGTGAATGAATTCTGAGATAAGATGAGCATGATTTGGTAAAAACCCACTTACCGCAGACTTTGTAAATAAATACTTTAGAATTCTGTAAGATCTCCCGTTAAATTTTATTATGCTAATTTCCC